TATATATACATATACATATACATACACACATATACACACACACACACACACACACACACACACACACACACACACACACATACATACACACACACGCTTTAACAATATACATTTGCTCATTATATTCCTTGAAAAACACAGATATATTCTTAATGTATCTAAACCCAAAAACAAACATTTTATATATTGCATGTGATTGCTGCATTCGTTTTATTTCCACCTAGTAATTCTGTGAATAACACTTTGTCCTAGGGCAGCTACGTTCACTCACTCCACTGTATCTATATAGGGAGCCATGGCTGTTACTAGGCTGCTCTGCTAATCTGGACAGCTAACCTGCCTCCACTCATTATTTCCATGATGTGGGGTGTGGAATTATGAGGCACTCTTTGTAGTTCAGATAAAGGAGATGGGGAAAAACAGATATGATTGTCTGATATGTTAGTTTAGTTCCCAAGGAGTTACAAAACCACTGGAATTCTGCAAAGATAGACTAATGTTTCAGTACTTGCTGAAATTGCTGTAAGCCTGCAAAATAAAACTAATGCAGCCCCCCATCTAAGGACTGGTACGCTGCAGTATGTTTTGTATTTGATATACTTTATTTCAGATAAAGAATTTCATATCCATTTTAATATGTTTGTGCAGACAATACGTAGTGAATACTTTTTACTCGAACTCCTCCAAACACATGGAAAGAACTCTGTTCAGCTCCTACAACATTTTATCTTCACATTAATAGAAGTGCAGTCTCAGCTACAACTTTGGGATTAATCAGCGTTTCATTTCCTGTTCATAAACATTTGACCTCATCCTAACATCATCAGCATGTGGTAGAGGTTTACATTACATTTGGCTACTGTATAGGATGCATCTAAATATAGACACAATAAATATACTGCTAAACATACATTAGAAATGATTCTTGGAGCAGTATGAGGTATAGATTGTGCAATGTGTCATGTCCGATGATAACTTTGATACTTTCCATGTAGGCATATATTTTTCTGCTTAGTTATAAAGATTTTTTTGCCGAGTATGGATGATTTTATAGCCCCAAAACTTTTTTTTTGTGTGAAATCTATGTTTCACAGCACTTTTTATTGCGACCTGTGGTTTCTACACCGCTGCCTTAGTCTAGTTAAAACAACATTGTCTCAGTATTAAACCACCAAGCTGGTTAGCAGCAGCTGCTGAGTACAAAGAGCCTTTGACTTGTAGTGGTCAATTTTTCTGTAGCGTCTTGTTTGTCCTCACAGTATTACTGTGTCTCCGTTTACTGCACTGCAAAAACACTGATCACATAATCTTCGTCTAAGCTGAAAGGACGTTAAGAGCTTTGCTCCCTTCTTTACAAATGAGAAATGTTACGCATGCTCCTTGCAAAGGACCTAATTCCATGCAAAGTTCTTATCAGTTTTATAGGACTAAAATATTGAATGTCGAAGTTACCAGTAAATATGTGGAAGAATCCATAATTGTGCTGAAACCGCAATCTCAGACATTCTGTGTAACTTCACTATACAGCATATTGTTCTATGACAGTGGTGGCGAACCTTGGCACTCCAGCTGTGCCAAAACTACAAGTCCCAACATGCATCTGCCTCTGGGAGTTATGTCTGTGGCTGTCAGAGCCTTGCAATGCCTCATGGGACTTGTAGTTCCAAAACAGCTGGAGTGCCAAGGTTCGCCACCACTGTTCTATGAGATCAGTCATTTAGGGTAAATTGGGGTCAGCGGTGATAATTGGCAGCAGTCTTCTATGATAATATCAACTGCTAGAGCTATACTACATTCATTTTAGCAACCTTCATTTATAACAATCTTTCAAAGCTTTCATATCTATCCACAATGTGTTTCACCCAATCTCATACTAGTTCGCATAAACTTTAGTTTACTGGACAATATATTTAGGTCTGTTTTTGAGACTGAGCCCCTACTGTGTGAGTAATAGCACACTGGTATAGTGGGACTGGTAGCAGCTGCTACCAGGATCATTGCTGAAAGGAAAGAGATCTTACCCTAGTTCAAAAATCACAGTGGGGTAGTGGTTAGCACGTCTAGAACCACTACTGGGGGGGTCCCTGGTTTAAATCCTGGTCAGGATACTATCTGCAAGGAGTTGGCATGTTCTCCCTGTGCTTGGATGGGTTTCCTCCCACACTCCAAAGACATGCTAGTAGGTTAATTGGCTCCTGTCTAAATTTTGCCCTTGCAACTACGCATGTGTGATAGGGACCTTAGATTGTAAGCTCCTTTAGGGCAAGGACTGATGTGAATGCTTTACCATGTAAAGCACTGTATAAATCCTTGGCTCTATATAAATACCAAATAATAAATAAAATAACTTCAGCAATGAAGATCTATTCATGGTGTGACCATGCGCTCTTGGCTTACAAGCTCTCAAGTTTATGGCGTTATTTAAAGCATTTGTGTGTATGGCAGGTGTCAATAAAAAAGATGTTGCAGGGTCTTGGTTCACATTTTCCTTTTGGCCCAAGAGTAGCAAAGCTACTTCCTGGTTTATGTGTGTACAATGTAGTGGTTTGTCTGTCCTGCAGTCTTAGGCCTTCAAAGGGCAGGGACATGAACAAAGACTCCTTATGCTGAACTGCCTTCACAACAGCCAGACTCCCATCAGCTCACTTCCTGGAGTTCAAACAGATTAGCCTAGATAGCAGTTTGCATTAGTCAAGTTGAACCTGATTATATACTTCAGTAGCAATTTGGGCTGCAGGCATGACTCAGAGGGTTCTGCATTACACCTTCTTATGTGTGCTTTACCAGCAAATGCACACCCAAAGTAGCACACTGTATTATTTGGCTTTAAAGTGTAAATTAGAAAAAAAAAAAGGTTGTAGATGCCATCTCTAAAAAGGAAGGAAGGAAATACTTTCCCAGTTGACTCCTAAAATAAAGGTTATGCCCCATAATCTAATAATCTAGCAAAAGACATAAGTCATTGCTGAAGTCATTTTTCCAAAACACTCCTCTGCATACAAAACGCAGCCTATTCTTTGGGGAATACATGACCCGATCGCCCTCTTCTACTCAATTTCTCTGGTAAGCCAATATGAAAAGTGAAATTTTATGGGAAAATGTACGATTTTCTATCAGGTCATCAAATATGAGACATGAGCAACAGCATATTAACAGGAAAACTCAAAGCAGATTATGGCCCCGTTCACACGAGGGTGGTTTCGTCGCGCTGATTTTTCCGCGCTGAAACGCATGCAAATAAAATCCCATACATTCCCATGGGGGGCGTTCACACGGAATCGCGCGTACAAATACGCCTGTTGTTCGAAATAGTCCCTGAGCTTCTTTTGTCACGCTTATCAGCTTGTTTTGCTCCATAGACTTCAATGTAAACGCGCTGATCAGTGAATTTTTGCACGATTTCGTGTGTTTTTTAATGCACGTTTTAGCAGCCGAGCCTGCTTCTCATTGGACAACGGAAAGCGAGCTTCAAAAATGTGCTGACATATGAACAGAAAACACCTGTAATACGCGCTAAAATGCGTATATAAACCATGCAAAAACAGCGTGAAAACAGGCCTGAAACACTGTCACCCTGGTGTGAATGGGGCCTAGGGGCCTGTTTCGTGAAATGTTACATTCACATATTACTATTTGCCCCTCCCATTTAGATTGTAAACTGTCACGGGCAGGGCCCTCCTCCTTACCATCTTGTCTTGATTTGTATTGTAACTGTAATGTCCTCCTTATATTGAAAAGCGCTGCACAAACTGTTGGCGCTATATAATTCGTGTATAATAATATTAATACACTTTTTTTTGCATTATCATTATTATACAGAATTTATATAGTAACAACTGTTTGCACATGGGTGGCCAGTGAACCAATAAATGGCTGTGATTGAGCCGTTACTGGATAGCTCAGATCACAGGAACAATGTTCAAAGCCAATCAGAGTGGCTCTGTACCTTGCGATTGCTGTGAACAGCGATGTGCCAGCATTTACAAACATTCAGCCCATTGACAATGAAGGAAGTGAAGATTGTCATATGCTTTATTTTTTAAAAGGTAGGGGGAGAAGGGGTTTAAAATGCCACTGGCCACCAATAATTGTAGGATTCTTTTTGAAAGGTAAAGAAATAAAAAGGGAAATGGTAAGCAATCCCACATTTTTGGTCATTTAATATAGATCATTTACTATATGGTAAAAAATGGAAACACAGTGGTTGTTAAATACTACCAAAAGAAAGCTCTCTCTCTCTCTCAAAACTGTCAGTCAAACTATTACAGTGCTGAAAACTGATGTGGAATTGATGTGGGCCAATACATAAATTGTGTAGTAAACCCCCCAATTTTTTTTTTATCACAGGCTCTCATATACATTTCTCTGATTAAAGTTGCTCATCATTTCTTGTAAATACATTTCCGTTAATAGTAAATACCTGGTGATCCTGACAGTTACTAGCACTTCCTCAATCCCTATGTCAATGTTCTGCAGGCTGATCTGCAGTCTGCAGCGTTGCCTCTCCTGTCTGTGCATGCCCATGTGTTATATCCTAAACAGCCAAACATTGGCAGGACTTCCTATGTTCCCCCCTTTTAACACAGCCCCATGTGACTGTATGAGCTCCAATTGGCTCGGTGCAGCCAAAAACATAGGATGGAAAAACACAGGAGTGACTTTAGCAAGACACGTTGTCACATGCTGCAGGTTAGCCCCATGCAGTGCAGAGGAAAAGGACACAGATCACCTGATCTGAGTAAAAAAGATTACGGTTATTATTCACAATACAGATTGCCAAATATATGGGTTTACATACATTTTACATCTAAACTCTGGACACAAAACATTTCATTTAAATATAGTCCTCAATGGTCACAAAGGATTTAAATCCACTTTGTGTGCGCCAAATGCTTTTAGAAATCTAGAAATTACTTTCTTGAATTAACACTGACATCATCACTATGCTGCAAATAGACTGTGCATACAGCAGAGCTGTGGGAGGAGCCCAGCAGACCCCATCCACTACAGGCTGCCTGCAGAAAAGTAGAGGTTGGGGCGGATACAAGACCAGTATAGTACCCTGTACCATGAGAGAGAGCAGCAGTGATTGGTCTTTATTACGGGAAGCTCCAGCACAGAGGCAAAAGTTTCACTCTGCACAGATCTGGAAGAAATATTACAAACCTCACCAAGATTGAAGTACGAGTACACATGCCTCTTGTATTTCGACATTATTTATGTACCCAAGAATTCAGCTTTATAACCCCTGTGTTTTTTTAGAAGTTTGTTTAGGATAGGAGTTTTATCCATTTTCTAACAGATGGTTGGCAGCAGATACATTTTGAAACATGGGGTATCTGCATGTCTCACTTTTATCACAAACACAAAAACAGCGGGGTTATTCCTCATGTTAGAATACTGGGGACACCTAAAACACAGGAAAAAGGTGATCTGCAAATCATAAAAGTTGTTTATCCTCCCCACATAACTTACTCCTCTGTTTAATGCAGGAGGCTTGTGTGCATGAGGCCTAGGAATTCTTGCACAACATGGGATCCTTATCAGTGCAAACTGAATAAAACTGAATATTAGAGTGTGTAACTTTTATTTCGGACAGGCAGTGTATATTTTAATAGTTTTGCTATCTGAAATATAGGCAAACATAAGACATGGCATATCTTTACTACCGCACTGAATATATCTTACCCTGCAACACCTTGGTCTGGCACACGTAGAAACTCCAAGCTTGGTTGTTGCTGTTGATTTCTTGCTGAAGCTCCAGCCACTTGTCTTGGCAAAATTGGGTGGTCCATAGAGGGATGGACTGGTTTAGGGTTGCTGCTATTTTGCCTTCCAGGTTTCTGTTGCTGATGCCCATACATGGAACCCTGTATTACCCCATTTTGATGAGACCCTGTAAATCATAAAAAAGAGAACATTACTGCAATTAGATGATGTAATATGACATTGATTTCCAATAATGCTGCAATATACAACAGAGCCTCCATTAAGACAAATGTTAATGTTTTTTTCAGACATTTTGCATTCAGATACATTTTATTTATGTAACTAATCTGACAACTGGCTGAATTTACAAAGCAGCTTAGCAGGTATATTTCACTTCTAAGATCATTTTCCTGAAGTAACTTTGGAAGATTTTTTAATATTAAATGTTTTCTGTACTGAATTTCCACTTTAGTGCCTCTCCTTTTATTACACTACATTAACTATACTACATTATTTAGTGCCTCTCCTTTTATTACACTGCATTAACCTACCTTAATGAACAATTGCTGCAATAAGATGGATTAATATGTCTCACAGCCATTTTTTAATGGATTAGGCCCTTTTCACATGGTTGCGCTGATCAAAACTACTTTTCAGGCAGATATAAAATTGGACAATTTTTCAGGCAGCTATGATCGCATATGAACGCAATGCTATGTTGGGCAGGCGGATGTAAATGGACACACATCTGTCTAGTGTGTTTAGGTCAGAAAAGAGTTTTCTGGACCCAATCATTATAGATGGGAGGTAACAGGATATAAAACGAACATGCGTCTGTTTACATGTGCCTGCCCATAGACCTAACATGGGTCTGTTTAGTTTAGTTTTGCGGTGGAGAAAAAAAAAACTGAATGGACATAAATATCACAAAAGTGACCTCTGTTTCGTAGTGCTCTGATCAGCAGAATATCCCCTGCATGCACAGATCCCCTGCTGATCAGAGAGGACGGGTGTCTGTGTGAAAGGGGCCTTACAGAGTCTCTCTTTCGGCCACGGATAGGCAGATGTCGAAAATATTGAGCAAGCCCAGAAGTTCTGAATGCACAACTGGCCCTGGAGGGAAAAAAAAAACTATTTGCAGGACTCCTCAGGATCCTAATAAGGAATAAACGCCTTATTTTTTTTAGATTTGTGATGGAAGCGATACATGTTTTTAAAGTGCAATTCCAAATTTGCAGCCAAACTGTAATAACACCTACCTACTTCACATTTGTTCCATGTTCCTATTTACGTAGCATAGCTTGAAAAAAATATTACAAATTGTTGCTTACTTTCCTACTTTTCTGAAAACTCCACAACCGAAAAATTCTAGTTAGCATCCCTTTCTATGTAATGCTTATGAGAGGGTGGGGAGTTGTGTTTGTTACCACAGTGCTTAATTTTAGTCACAGCCTTGTGGTACTTATCATGCGATACGCGTGGTGTGTGGCATCTCCATGCACAATACTACTACTATCTCCAATCTGTCTGCAATTGCCTAGCTGGACTGTGGGCTTCCATATGTGTATTTTGAGGGACCGTCTTTAAAAAATTATATATATATATAATCATATTTAGGTATTTAAGATAAAACAAAAAAAATAATTTTGTTCAGCACATAAAACACATAATTGGATATATATGAAAAATATTTGACATTCCCTTTACAGTATTTGTATACTATTTTAATGGAAATCTCTGAGAGGTCAGCATGACTGTTAGTACAAGTACTGTACCTGGTGGTGGTGGAGCAGCTCTGCTTGGATAAGACTTGGCTTTGTTTGTGTTATTTCTTCCATCAGCAATATTTCTCCTGGTGGGCCCTAGAACACAAAAGGAACAAATCAACAAAGACAGAAAGGGATCCTCTACAGAGACTGTGTAGGCTTATGGCACAGAGGAAAAGGAGGCGTTTATCAATGGGCACAGTGGACTTTTTCTCAGGATAAGGGTTTGGGTGAAAATGGTTTACAGTAATCAACTTCGTTATTAGAAAAAATTTAAGTTAACCTATTTTGATGTGGACCCAGGGCCAGATTTACTCTCTCTACTGCCCGAAGGCCAGGTTCCTCAATGCGCCCCCCTCCCCGTCAGTGAAAGGGGCTTTTATCCAACAATGCTGCCCCTCTACTCCTTGCTTTAACACTGCATGGAAACATCAGCATCTTTTACATGCAGCGTTAAAGCCTTTAATCACGGCAGAGCTGCAGGTGATGCACATGGATTTCATTAATAAGCCGCCACTTGCTTACTGACAGCTTGTCAGTCTATTAAATAGAGCCCATTAAATCTCTATCACCTCCGCAGTGATTAAAGGAAGAAATACACCCCCCCCACAGAAATACACACACACACACACATTAATGCCCCATTCATACCTGTAAATTTAGGTGTAATTAGGGCTTACAGTGTCAGGAATTTGCAGTTTTCTGCAGCAGGAATCCCTAATCTGGTGTTTACAAGCAGCAGCTGTCACCCATTCAAGTTAATGATCAGGTGACAGCCGCTGCATGTAAATGCTGGCACACGGCATGTAATGGTATGTGATATGATTACATGTCGTTAGAAAATGGTCACTCTCGATGGACGCATTGATCGTGTATCCACAGAGAGTTATTGATTCCTAACCACATGTAATCATTTACCATTAAATGCAGTGTTCTGGCGTTTACATGCAGCGGCTGTCACCTGATCATTAACTTGAACGGGTGACAGCTGCTGCTTGGAAATGCCGGTTTTAAGATTCTGCTCCTCTGCTGACCCTGAGACTACAAACGGCCCAGCCGTCACACATTACATACAATTTGAAAATGTACACAAGACAGATTGTGTGAAGATGCACTTACTTACCTAATCATGGGCAGATGAAATAATTACACAGATTCCTTTTGACATGATTGGAAAATTGAAATGAATCATCACACAATTTACTTTGGGAACATTCTCAGCTCCTTCAGTACATAAGCCTAATTTTTTCACGCATTCCCAGCAATATTGCTGCCCTTGCAATTCAAGCATATTTTTCCTCCTTAGCAATCCATGTTTGCTCTCCTATACCCAACTGTACTAATCCAACTCATAGCAATGCTGCACTTGAAAACTCTTTGACCCTACAAGCTTCTTCAATTACTACATTTACAGTCAAAGCTATGCAACTCCAACCATTTCATAGACCTATGGACATCTTTATGAACTGTGATTAGAGATGTTTATAGTGCCAAAAATGTTGTATAGAAAGGAGGCAAACTGAATGGTACAGGCAGTGCGAGACCACGCACTTTGTGGCTTTACAGATCTATTGTTTGATATAATTTACATAAAATGAGAATATTGTGAGGGCACAAACATATTCAAAATCATTTTTAACAAGCATAATTTGCCATTGCAAGATCTAATTAGAAAACGGTTGTTGTAAACTAGGAAGATAACTAGGTCGGTCTGTGTGGCCTTTCCACAAATTCAAGTCAGGTTGGCAAACGCATAAAGCAGAATAGTGTAAGCAAATTGGAGGAATTTATCAAAACTGGAGCAGACAAAATCTGGAGAAGCTGTGCACAGCAACCAAAAAGCTCCTCGCTTTCATTTTCAAATCTTAACTGAACAAACTGAAGCAAGATGCCGATTGGTTGTCGTGGGCAACTGCTCCAGATTTTGTCTGCTCCAGTTTTGATAAATTCCCCCCAGTGTATATATCTGCATGTACTTACGGGAGTTCTTTGGAAGGCCTTGACCAATGCTGACCTGTAGCGCTTTATTGCTGTGTTTCAGTATGGCTACATCTCCAAACCCTTGAACAAACTGCACCTGCCGGGCACTGCTTCCTCCACTCCATGGGCCCCAGGATTCTTTCTTTAACTTCATTTCAAGCCTAAATGCAACAGAATTGAAATCAGAAGAAAAATGATGGCACACTTGTTCTTTTAGCAAATTTACCATTTCTATTAGCAGTTAAATTATCCAACATATATAAAAAGACACCCACGTTTAAAGGTGGATCATGAATGCCTTTGTTTATATATCGAAAGAGCTTAAATGAAAGGGCTGGAAGCAAGTGTACTGATATTACCCCTCTTAGGGTAGAAATGTCTGCTAAAGTCACTTTATAGTGTGTGTGTATGGATGTGTTGTTTTTGGTTTTTTTACTGGCTTCATGCTTAAAAATAAAATTTTTAAATACATTTTCTTTTTTAACCCCTTACTGACACAGCTTCAGAAATTTTTTCCGCCTCTGGGGTTCGGCGCAATTTTGCCATTTTTGCTATGTGTTTGTTTAACCATAATTTCCATCTTCCTCATTTATTGCACCTACACATATTATATACAGTTTTTTAAAGGACTAAAATGGGGCTTAAGTTGATGTGACATGTGCATATAAAAATTCTTCTTTTTTTTCAAATAAATAAAAAAAAACAAAAAAACACATTTTTCACAGTTTTGGCAATAATTGTACATAATAAAACTTTTTAAAAATTAAACTAGGGGGTACTAAGGTTTTAAAAAAAAATTATTTACAGGGATTTTAATACTTAGTATTTCCGAGGAGAATACACTATTCTGCTTAGAGATACTTTGTATCAGTTTGTAAACACAGCCGGCTAGCTGTTTACAAAACACTGCTGAAATGCTGCCGGCCGTGTGACTGCCACAGTTCTGCAATCACAGCGATCAGATCTCGCTGTGATCAGAACTGTAACCACCTAATATGAGGGTCTGCCTTGGACCCCATCTACAGCAGTAACCAAATGAGCACTGGTCCCTTTACGGACCAGACCTCATTGTACTGAATGACGATATAAACCCGTCGATCAGTCGTTAACGAACTGAACGATGTGGACGAGAAAATCCCTTCATTGGACAGGAAGAAGTTAAAGAAATATGCATATTTATATATTGTTATGCAATCGGCAGATTGAGCCCCCAGCTTTTTGTTGTTGAAAAACAAATGTTTACAGATTTCAATAACTCAAGAAGATATATACGCAATGAGTCACAGCAGCCTTATCCACCTCACTACACAATTTCTCTGTAGGGCTCCATCGGATGTTTCAATCAGAGACAAAGATTCTGAAAGTACTCTGCTGTACTCTCACAAGAAAATTCATGATACTCTGGAAATCATTTGTACACTATTAAATATCTAAACATAACGAATGTACATATGCCTACGCTAAAAAAAAAAGGAGAGCAACACAAAACCATTACATGTTCTTTTTAAATTCCTATGATGAGCACTTCTTTGACTAGTATCCTTCATCCTGTATGACATACTAAGCTTACTGACATGAGTCCATGGTAAATTGGGAGCTGGCAGAGTTTCCTTACTTCAGTGGAACATAGTCTCTGAATACATAATATTAACACAGAAGCCTCATTGAATTCCCCTTTCATTGAAAATGCTTTAGTGAACCTCTCTAAGATATTAAAAAGGCCTGCATTTCTGTCACTTTTCTTTTTTTTTTTAAATTTTTATTAGATGCACAAATTAAAGTAGACATAAACATGCAATGGTATACGTCAGTACGGTGGTAGAGGACAGAAGAGATAGAATGCATGTAATAGTGGTAACTTATTGGTTTACAACATAGTCAATGTTTTGTAATGTTCACCAACTAAAAGGAGCACTATTTATAATAAACATTAAGTTTGTCATAATGTCAGTGTGTAATTATACATCTTATATGTAAAACTAAAGAACCTGTGAGTCAACCAGCTAGTTTCCAGTGTCATTATTCCAATACCCAGATTATACCAAATGGAGAACTCATGTGCATATGGTAAATATGAGTAATCCATTCACCTTATGTATGTAACTGTTGTATTTGGGGACTTGACCCAGTCTAACCACACTGTATCTAATTTACCAGGGCAGCATTGGGCTTCATAAGTTAATGTACAAGGTTTATCCATATATTGATATTTAGTACATCAATATGTATCCAATTCAGAACTATTGTTTTTCCAGCAAAAGTGGAGTAACCTTAAAAATAATTTCTTGTTCCCAGTATAACCAAAATTCCCAGTGTACCCAAAATTCCCCGTGCAGGTTTGCAGACATTTGGTATTGAAACATTGTCAAAAATAAATTCCATAATCTTTGACCAGTAAGATCTAATTTTGCCACATTCCCATACCATAAGGTTCTTCCACCACTAGACATTTGTGACACAGAGGGGTGTCATTCCTTGACTCAATCAAGTCTAGAGGTCTACCCTTAAGCAAGGACAGAGTAAAATCTAGAGCTCAGTTTTGGATATTTGACTAAAGTACCATGTTTTCTAACTTAGAAGTTTTAAAACATACATCTTGCGTACCAAACTGGACAGAGGCTGTGTGCCTAGGTTGAATGTATTAAAAATACCAGCTACTGGAAATGTTTATTTCTTGTTTCAGGGTAGCAAAAGGATTTAAACATGCCTCGTAATTAACTGTGAAGTACTTATTTTAAACCAGCTTGAGCTAACACAGGCCTAATAAGAATTTAAGGAAATGATCCAATTTTAGATTGAATCAGATAAGGTTATTGGGTGAAATAGATTGAGTGGGTTGTGGGAGAAAGTGTTGGCACTGCTTGTATATGTTCAAGGACATTGTCAGATGTGCCAGTAGTAGTAGGAAATACATTTCAGTGTATGAGATTTGATAGGGTTTTACATGAGGAAACCATGGCTGCCATTCATGGCCACAGATGCATTATTTAGATTGGGAAATAGCCACCAGTGTATGTGCACTATATGAGAGGCATAGTAATAGCTCTGCAGATTAGGTAATCCTTCCTGATCAAGTGGAAGCTGTAGTGTAGCCATGGAGAATCCAAGTGGTTTTGGATTCCATATAAATGTGAGAAAGGAGTTAATTTCCAGAATTTTGTTCTTGTAAATGTATACAGAGTTAGAAAGTATGTACAAAAGCTTTGGGAATTAAATATGTTCTTAAATGTTATGATAGGGCTCAGATTGTGTTCTATAAATTTGGATAATGGGAAATGAATTTCTTTGTGACTTCTTTGCAGATAAAATACGAACTAGTTACCAAAAATGTCATACTAGTTATACGTATGAGCAAAGTAAAGTAATACATAGCAATAAGATTTCAGTTTGCTGTTGCCACGAGTCTGCTAGGCGAATGCATGATCTGGACAATCTATAAATCACACATCTGGAAATGAGTTCCACTGCAAACATTAGATTACATTGGGTGGACATATTATCATATATGATCCAGTTTAACCGTAAAGTGGAAAAAAAAGGAGAAATGTCATCCTTAGAAACCCTAGTTAAATTATAGGAAGGCAAAACAATCCTAAACAAATCATGCTTGCTTTGACAAGGAAATCAAATGTCCTTTCTGACTCAAAGTGGCTATCAGATAACTCCCTGCATCCAGATACACCTATATTTATTTAAAAAAAGGTAGCGATTATTTTTTAATACAGTATGTGGCCCTTTATGCTAGAACCAGTTCGTGTGGAGGACTATTCCCATATATGCAGATCAGGAGTTTTTACTGTTTTCATTTTATTATTGTACCTGTATCCCTTTTGCAAATTTCTCCTCACTTGCTGTCTGGTGAAACGATTTGTAACTGTGACAGTAAGTGAGTAGAAATCTCTCTGTATCCAAAGCCTTTTTTAAAAAAAATTTGGATTACAAAAACATATCAACTTGCTGAACTTTAGTGGTACCATTAAATTTCAGCATGTTGATATGTTTTTCAAATTCTATATATTTTTAGTTATAAAAGAAAAAAAATGAAAAATCTTCCAATAGGAGGTGTCACTGTCCAAGAGTGCACTCCCTTCCTTTGGAGAGATCTTTTCTAATTTCCTGTTGTGTCTGAACACAGGAATTGAAGGCCAATCTTCCTAATTGCACACAATCAGCAAAACCTAAGAGGGTTTCTTTTAGCTATTCCTCCCTCTATCCAAAACTTTTACGGTTTTATGGGGAGGTGTTGAATGTTATGGTTAGCCTTCGTTTATTGCTCCCTGCTAGTCCATGCTTCTGTGGTTATTATATTGGACGTAGAAGCTACTCACGTATTATTGAACTTCAGAGGTAGTTTTCTTTGGGTCTTCTCTTCGTAGTGCTTGGATAAAAGGCTTATGAATTCTGTCTTGAACAGTGATTCCAGCAGACTGTCATACTCTTGCTCATGGAGAATGAAAAAGTCATCCTGAAATGTGCTATAAAAATGAGAAATCAAACACTTTGAAACACTTATGCCAAATCCTGGATATTACTGAGGTCAGAGGAAATATTTTCAGCAAGCACACATTTTGAATTATTATTTTAAAGTTTGTGCAAAAAAAGTAAATTTTAAAGTGACCTTTACTTCTACTCTGTGAACTAAGGAGGTTGCCACTACTAAAATCCTAAAAATGCCAGCTGCCCGGCTATCTCTGTCCTCAATACTTTGACATAGATTGCAATGAAGCTGAAGGATCAGCATGAAACCCATGATACAAGTATTGTCATAAACAGAGGTCAGCAATGGGAGTTTTAAAACTTCCTTACTACATAGTTTCTTTAAATACTCAATCTTTGACGGACATCTGTTTATCTAGATTGTCTAATACTACAATTCACAATGTCTCCTTTACTATATAATATTCAGACACACTGCCTACACTCATTTATATATACTTCAAACAAATTGGTATATGATCTGTGATTGGCTGTAATGTTACAATGAGTCATCGACTGACAGCTATCGCTGGGAAAAGTCTGGGAAAGCTTTTGTATTTAGCAACCTTTTTTTGTTTAAGTATAAAATCTTAAATGGCAGAAGAATGAGAAGGAAACACAATGACTTTCCTAGATTCTTCTGCCCTTCTGTAGACTTTTCCTTGGATCTCAGCTGAGATTTACTCATGGTTACAGGACTACAATGTCTTACAGATGTTTCACTTTGCAGAATAGTTTTCAAAGACAACATTACCGTTAAAAGACTGTCTGATCTTGTGCCCTAAAAACTTTTGGAATATCAAATTTTTTAAGTTCCAAAAAGTGAAGCAAATGATATATTTTTAAATGTTGAACTTATCATCAAAAACAAGATTATTGAATGAAAAAACAACTTTTATTTATTGCAACTTGAGAGAAAAAGTGTTCGGCCATAAATACGTATATCTGTCGCTAGTCATTTATATCACATGTTTAAAAGTCCTCAAGACAAACTAGGGAGATCAGCATTTCTCTGATTGCAGGGAAATTGCCAAGATGGCTGTGTCTGTCCAATCCAGTGCTAGAAGCTGTCACTTCCTTGATTACTGGCAGTGATGCTAGGTCCATGGCAGAGAATACCTCTACATATCACACACAGTGATGTGCCTACCCTGGAATTAGGACTTCTTGAGAAGTCATGGCAACAATGGTAACATCAATCACCTAGTAGGACCCTCTGCTGTAACAGGTAATACACATCCATCTAGGGAACTATTGAGCAAGTGCATCAAGGGAAATCCAAACGGGAAACTATAATATTTTAATTAGAATGCATTGGATTGCCTACAGTGTCAGTAAATGGAAATGGAAGACAATTGGCAGTGATTCTATAAAGCATTTGTGACAGTTTTACGGTGGTGTGATCATATTAGAAAGGGCTGCACCTAATTCTAAGTGAGACCTGCACACGTCTGCAACAGATGATTCGGGTATTTTGTATTTGCGACACTTCATTGCGGTACATCTTATTAGCAACACGGCTCTGACAAACCCATTAAGAAATATTGCAATTGCTGAGGTAAAGAAACTGCCATTAAACAACACCAATGTCAAGTTGGTATTATTTACTTTGTTATTTAAAACCTCCCTCTTTGCTGCATAGCACCATTGGTTACTAAGACGCAGGTGGCTGCCATTGTCCTAGAAAGCAATAACATGGGGCGAACATACTAAAATATAGTATGTTAGTCCTTAGACTGACAGTGGGTAAGCATGATGGATGATGCTGACAGACCAGTTCCCAATGAGGTCTGTCCTCCCTGTAATTGACAGCGGGCGGCAGTGGGCAGACTCCATAGCCATTAGTGGGCTGTCTAGTGGCTACGAAATCCTCCCAATGCTGTCCAATGTCAATTACAAGGGAGGAAAACCTGATGGGAAAAACAGTCTCTCAGCATCACCCATCAGGCTTCACCCACTGTGACTCCAAGGGGAAGTGGCTCTGATGGAGAACTGGTGCCTTAACGTAGACCTTCAGGCTCTGCACAATCAACAGCTCAACTTTTTTGGGGGCTCAGTGATGCTGTGATTTTATCAGGCTTAGCATTACTGAGCTGCAGTGAGTACAAAGTGTCTGGTATATTGCATGGACACTCTGACCTCAGTGCTGCCTCCTACCATACCCCCATGCAACTTGTTCATATACATGTTTCAGTCAAGTGCATGAATCTGTCATAAATAGTGTCATTTGCTGCTTGAACGGGAGATGCATTTCTTATGAGTGTCTACTACACTCTCAAATTTAAGGGGTTATTTTTTTTTTTTTACTATCCAGTAATAAATGAGGAAATGCATGAAAGTATAATGAAATCTGCAGCTTTTCCCTATATCAAGTAGCACACCTGCATATTTTACGACAAAAAGCTGTATCTATAGATTTGAGTTTGTATCATGTAGAAAGCAGATTAGGAGCTGATGAAGAAAGAGTGACAATTATATTTCTAACAGCATTAAAAACACACAGATGCCTTATTGAAGTTTGCTGATTGTATTAAAACTAGATTACTAAATGTGCCTTACACCAGTTGAAGCATTACTATAAACCATTATGCTTTTGATACTAGCATATGTCATCACTGTGACTATTAGCATATGACTGATGTGAGAAGGTGCAGCAGCAGATTTCAGTTCAGACAATACACCATTGCCTCTACTAGAGCCAGATGGAGCACACTGAAGCAGGTGCAGTGTGCAGTCTGATGAGCCTGGTGACAGCTCTGTTTATATTGGATTCACTTCCAGTCAGCATCTGGTAAGTAACGGAGCATCTCCTAGAGAGAAGCAGGATTGCTGTCTGATGGGCTCATTTGAACATTTTTGCTTGGTAAATCTCTTTTATCATCTTCAAAATGATGTTGTAAAAACAGACTAAGCATCTTAAAGTGAATGTTACCCTATGTTTTTTTTGCTGTAATATGTTTGTTTAGCCTTAAAAAAAAGACAACTTTTTCAAGTACTCCCTCCATTAGAAGTACCTAGTTGACCTTGTCAGTCCCCCTTCATTCTTGATCTAAACTGACCATGCCAAGCAAAGAAGCAGATCCGTTCTTGCGTGGTCAGTTTGCGTGCCAGTGCTTCCTGTTTGGAAGTACAGGATGCTGCACAGAAGTATAGCGTTTCAAAAGACTATAGAACCTGCCACAGCATGTGGAAGTAATTACTTCTACTAGAAAGTGGACAGCTGGGAGGACAAATGTAAACAAACTCCCAGCTGCTGTTTGTGTACATGCGGACATACACCGGTGGAAGCAAAAGGGTTAAAGACAAACTTTTTTTGTAGTTTTGGATAGAATAGGGAAGGGTTAAAATCCCTATCATGTTTTGAAGTAAACCCTATGTGAAGGCTTGTGTTGGCAGGCTTTTTGTTCATGTCACAACTTTTCTCCCCTTAACAAGCCTTGTGGAATGCAAAAGAAGCTTGAATTAGGTGCTATTCAGGTCAACAGGAGGTCAACTGCTGATCCAATGCAATGTCATTGAACTGTGAATGATCTCAGAAAATGTTTTAAACTAATGTCAAAAGCTGCATTTGCCAATTGACATAAGCCCATAGACAGTTGTCACCGCAAAGTGTCTCCATTGGAAAACTTTCAAAAGTTTGAGTTTTCCCCCACTTTCAAACCTGGCGAAAAAAGTTACTAGAATAGAAAGGGTTAATCTTCCCAGTGGAAACACAGCATGCACTAAAGCGTGGTTGGGTTAATAACCCTTCCATAGCAAAAATAAAGGTTTTGGCTTTAGATACACTTTTAACTCAAGAAAGGGTGAGTGTGTCCAAAACCGTTTGGTTACTTCTGATTTGGATAATTCTATTTGAACACACCGTCAGAGTAGGAAGGAAACAGTAAATTTTCCACAAGAAAGAAGGTCAAACATTTTTAACAACGCATACAGTTCATGGCTTATAACTTCCACCTTTAGAAATAGACACTGACCTTAGAGAGACGGAAAGAATACGTTCAATGTCGATCTTTTTTTTAATAACTTCCTTCACTATTCCCTTTTCTGGACCCTGTTTAATTTTTTCCCGTCCAATGAGGTACACAGATTTCGGGGTTAGTATAAGGTCCCTTTTTATGCTCTGGAAAACAGATGGAAAGAAACTTCTAATACGTATCATTCATAAACTTACCAAGTCAAACGGTCAATAGCTGTGACTTAACTCCCAGCATACAGCTCATTGGCAACAGACTCATTCCTAGCAGAGGAGAGGTGTTTATTACCAACGTATTAAAACAGGGGTAGCCAAACTTCGCCCGCCAGCTGTGGTCAAACTACAAATCCAATCATGCATCTGCCTCTGGAAGCCATGTCTGTGGCTGTCAGAGTCTTTTAGTGCCTTATAGTGCTTGTAGTTATGCAATTATGCTAGCCGTACACATGGCAAATGTTAACAAGTTTAACCGCAATCAACCAAAAACAACAAAACAGATAAGAGGTAACCTGCCAACAAAACTTGAATCATTTTACAGTTTTGCCAGAAGTGGATGGCTTTGCCAAGCTGTTTAATTTGTTTCTGCCATTAAAAGTGTACAAGGTTGACGTGTGTATGGCCAGCAGTATAACTTATTATCATGCAAAAGGTCTGCATTAAGCTTCACCTTCCAGGGCGTTATATAAATGGTGATCTAGGGGGGTTTACAGGTGACATCTGTCATGAAAGATGTGTGACAGGTATTATATGTTAAGTTTCAGCTTTTCTTTCAAATACAAATCTACAATGGTCAGAGTAATGTGACAGGTCTGTTATAATTGAACATGCAAAACCATGCGTTGTTTTTATAGTTGCAACATTTAAGTGAATGAACTCAGTTCATTCAACAATGTTCTCAGTTGTTTTACACCATCTCCTTAAGAGCTGCAAAGGGTTTTTGACTGAACTCTTTGCACCATTATACCCAACGACTTTCTCAGTTGGCAGTAACCGGTCTGGAAACTGCAAAAAGGAGAGCAAACAGATTTAAGCTAGGACACAGCTCTCTGCGGCTGTAGATAATACAACCAGTCCTGTGTCCTGTGCTTTCTCTCAGATGCTGTCAATCTAGCTGGTCACTCCTTACATCAAGAGTTTGCTTGATCCTTCGCTGCTAGGGATGCTTTTTTAGAGTTTTATCCCTTCATCAGCCCAAAAACCCACTGATCTTATTTTCTTCTTATAGTGTAAGGTTAATTAGCACTGCACTTGGTTAAACTTGTTTCCTAGATTAATTACAAATATTGTTTATTGCTTAGAATTGTATTTATAGTTTGTTTATTAACTGATGTAATTCTATCAGTTTAAGCACTTCAAGGATTATTTTTTAAGGATCATAGATCTTATTTAATTGTATATGTATCTGTTTAAAGTTGTTTTTGTTGTTATTATTGGTATTAGTGAATAAAATACAATTAAAAACTAGCGCAATTTATATTTGAAATTTGTGAAAAATCAACTTAAAGATCTATTATTTCTGTATTCACATTGTTAGGTTGAAAAGAGACACAATTCCATTGAGTATTGTTTAGTTGGAGTCATATGTATGGCTGATGAAGGAATGCAACACCAAAATGTCAGAAAACTGTTGACGTAAGGAGTGAGCTGTATGATTGACAGCATTCAGGTGAACGCACAGGATTGGTTGTATTATCTGGAGTTGTAATGTGCACCATCCCATATTCTTAGTGCGGCCCAGAACAACACAGCTCGGCACTGCCCTGGAAGAGTAAGAGAGGCCGGACTCCAGCAGATAAGCAGTTACACTTGTTTTTAAAAGTGGGTCTGTTACTAATGTTTATATCTTCATTAAATTGGAACTCTGCACTATGCTGGTGTGCGGAGGTGTTCTAGTGTTTGTCTTTTATTGTCTGAAACGCTCCCCCAGGCCACTTGCCGTAAGGCACAATTGGTTAAAAGGAGTTTTATTACACTGGGTTTACAATTCTTGATTCATTATTTTAATTGAATACATATCATTAGAGGCAATTCTATTTAAGTAGTATCTGGCCAACATAATTTGGTGATAATGATTTCACACAGATTTATACAAAGACTCAATTATCTTTAAGCCCCCAAAAGGTGTTGTGTGCTTTAAAGCAGCTTATTAAAATTATTTTCCCCTACAGTTTTGTGGCTGTTGAAGCCAGCAAATAAATAAGCCCATGCACACAGAAATGTAGAGGTAGGAGACTAGAACCTTGTCAAGTGACCAATTTGAACCATCACCAGGATCAGCTTAAACAAAAGGTGAAACTTAAGGCAGAAACTTTACAGTATGGTTATGGCACATAGCACTGGGATCAGTAAATAATATAATAAGCTAAATATTATTTTACATCAGAAAACAAGAATCGGGGTAGTACATTCAGATAAACATGGGCACAAAAACATACAAAACATATATGTCACTTATTGGCTAAGCTCGCCAGTTGGTCTACTTTTATTAGTTGAACTTACTTTTGATCTGCGGTCATACTTGGTAACAGTGTCTGCAAAGTCAACTTTTTCCCGCTTTCCCAAAAATTGTCGAAGCTCTGGATGTTCCTCCATACCAATGTAATCTCCAATAAAATTCCGATTAATGCTATTGCGTCTTCTTTCTTTTTTGTTTAGGAAAAGATCAGAGGCTGGAACAGTTTACAGATAAATTAGAGACATACTAGCGACAATGATAAAGAAAAACAAACAAAAAAAAACAAACACCTTTTAGGCTGGGAAAGTGGAAGACAAAATAATATTTACCAAGAGCCTGAAACTACAGCAACAAAACTTGCATGCAATAGAATGCCTATGTTTATATTTATCAGACTTCCTCACCACAGGTTAACATTCAGATAATCCTTCTCTATTTACCTTGGAAGCACGTAGCCAATGTGCTGTGTGCTACGTACCATCAGGAACATTATATCCAGGCCATTTGTGTGCACTTTCATGTTTGCAGGACTTCTACAAAGTACTCTGGTTTTCTACCACAACCCCAAAACATAAATGTAGGCTAACTGTGCCTGAATAAACAGGCCTTGATTGTGTATGTATGTGCCTATACAAGTAAGGTATGCACATTAGATCATAAATCATACTGGTAAATTATATAGGAGTCTATCTGCCTACACATATGACAAGTCAGCCTCTTTCATACCTTGTTCTCGCATTTCCACATACTTCTTCCGGGCTACATACTTCCTCCAGGCTTTCTGAATTGTTCGAGCATAGCCATCATACTTCCGCTCACGCATCTCCTCCAAAAGAAATAGCTGCACATGATGAAAAAAAAGTGATCACATTAACACCCAGAATGTAAACATGTCAATATTGGCCTAATATACAGGAATATGGTAGGTCTGCATACATATTGTGCTCGTGGTGAATCATTGACACCTATTTTATATATAGCACAAAACTGTAAAAGCTTGAAATAGCAGCATGAGGACTTATACAGACAGTTATTTTTTTTATTTTACATTATTACAAGCATGGTTTGTCTTTTCGAATATCTAGAACTGTGAAGTGTACACCGATCTGCCAAAACATTATAACCACCCTCCTAATATTGAGTAGGTCTCCCTTTTCCTGACCCATCGAGGCATGGACTCCACTAGACCTCTGGATGTATGCTGTGGTATCTGGCACCAACCGTCAGTAGCAGATCCTTTAAATCCTCTTTGTTATCGAAGTGGGGCCTCCATGGATTGGACTTGTTTTTCCAGCATATCCCACAGATGTACCATTGGATTGAAAACTGGAGAATTTGGAGGCCAAGTCAACACCTCAAGCTCGTTACCCTTCTTGAACCATTTTTGCGGCATGGCAGGTTGCATTATACGGCTGAAAGAGGCCACTGCCATAAGGGAATTCGGTTACCATGAAGTGGTGTACTTGGTCAGCAACAATGTTTAGGTACATGGCACGTATCAAAGTAACATTCACATGAATAGCAGTACCCAAGGTTTCCCAGCAGAGCATTGCCCAAAACATCACATATGCCTCTGCTAGCTTGCCTTTGTCCAATAGTGCATCCTGGTGCCATCTCTTCCCCCGGGTAAGCGACACACACACACGGCCATCCACATGATGTAAAACAAAAAAATTTGATTCGTCAGACCAGGCCACCTTCTTCCATTGCTCCACTTCTGATGCTCACGTACCCATTGTAGGTGGGCACAGGTCAGCATGGGCACCCTGACCAGTTTGCGGCTACGCAGCCCCATACACAACAAACTGTGATGCATTGTGTTTTCAGACACCTTTCTATCAGAACCAGCATCAACTTTTCAGCAATTGGAGCTACAGTAGCTCTTCTACAGGATCAGCCTACACAGGCCAGCCTTCACTGCCCACATGCATCAAAGAGTCTCCCTGTCGCCGGTTCTCCTTTCTTGGACCACTTTTGATAGGTCCTGACTACTGCAAACAGGGAACTTCCCACAAGCGCTGCAGTTTTGGAGTTGCTCTGACCCAGTCATCTAGCCATCACAATTTGGCCCTTCAGGGACAAAATGTTAACTTGCTGCCCAATATATCCCACCCACTTCCTGGTGCCATTATAATGTGATAATCAATGTTATTCACTTCACCTGTCAGTGGTCATAATGTTTTGGCTAATGTGTGTATATATTCTATAGCTTAGAATATTAGACTCCCTCCCAAATGCACCTATTTGGTGGTACCGTTTTCATATGTTATTATAGTTCAGGGTCTATTGTGTAAGCAACTGAGTTGGGGATCAATATTTCCTGATTTTAACACTTTGTGATGTATGCTTTAGTACATTGGTAGGATTAGGCCACTGATCAGCATTACCACACAGTTTTCCACAAAGCAACCGTTAACATTAACTAGGGATGCATTGAAATTTTGGCCACCTAAAACATATCGGTCGAAAATGGCCCTTTTGGAAAAATGCAGAAAGTGTCATCTTTCGGCCGAAATTGCGGTGCATCCCTGGTTTCTCTCCACCCCATTGGGCACTGCTCTGTGTCCCCTCTGACACAGCACAGCGCCCAGCGGGGAGGAGAGAAACGGTCACAGGAGGGCGAACGGTGTGGTGGTGGGGGGGAGGGTGGGGGGTGGAGAGCGATCTTAGTGGCATCTCTCCTCTCGCACCACTCAGCCTCCTGTGACAGAATAGAAGAGCGGTGTGAGGTCGGTGACAGCTGTCAGTGCTGCCACAGGAGGCTGAGCTCTCCTCCCGCAACACCCTGCTCAGCCTCCTGTGAAAGATACAGTTTTGTTAATAGTATTTGAATGCATTTTTAAGATTTGACTCCTGGGTTTAGTGTCACTTTGCTTTTTTTTTTCTACTCGGCTTCAAAGGAGGGACATCTGTAATGTGCTTAACAAACTTTTTTGTTTTGCATTAGCTTGCTGGTTCTTGATTCACAACACAGAAGTTAAAGTAGAATCTGCTTAATGTAGAGGAAACCAGAGTCATTGTATTGTTTGCTGAAGTCATGCTTCCAGCTACATGATATATTAAACAGCAATCGCTAAAGCTAGTGAACTCCTCTAGTGAACCACAGGCTAGCTGGAGCTTAGAGGCATATGAAAGTAGAGTTTATTTCCTATGCTCCTGAGCGCTGTCTAGTGGCCATACTGCTGTACTACATTACATTTACCTTGTAAAGAAGATATACTAAGAACATCGCAGTTTGCCTACATTTGCACAAACCGAACATTCAGAGTTTTGCTGGATTAATGGCTCTGCAAATTGTTCATAAAATCAACCCTTTCGTTTCTGATCAGGTAAAAATCTGATTTATTACCCGCCTGTTTTATTCCCAGCGACACTTTTGCCCCTATTTCTTGCCCTTGTAGCACAAGGCTAGGAGGCAAGGTGATGTCTCCAAAAGCAATAGAAAACAACAGAAGTTCTAACATTCGCCCACTCTATTAAAGTTTTGGATAAATCTGAGCTGGAGCCTATTCTATTCTATGCAGTCTGTTTGCACACAAGTTGATGCAGAAATGTAATTGCGGTAACATGCCTCTGTTATGTGGATTCACTACTGAAAATGGCAAGAATGGCCTTAGTTCTGCTGCAAGGGCTGGTTTTCTGTTTTGTCTGACCATGTACTTACTGTCCAGACATACAATGAAGTGGTGTAGTGTTGTTTAGTTCAGAGTACTCAAATCTACTTCAGTTTCAGCTTTTCATATTTTTTATTATGACAGTTATTTTTCTTTTTAATTAATCTAGAACTGAAAGTCTTCTGCATATGCACAGGGCAAGATTCCAGCAGATCACATTAGCTTACCAGACCACCAAAATTTCTGTATTTTAGAACACATGAACAAATTGCTTTCCAAGCTAAACACAATGGCGGTTGAATCTGGCTCTGGAAAGACCACTCCATCCGCTTATTACATGTACAAATAATGGTGTTCTGTGCTGCACAGGAAATTTCTAGGCCACAAACATTGTGATCAGTAGGGTGTTATACAGAGCTTGTGTTAACGGCTGTCAAGTATTAACTGTTTGCTACCCACATGGAGCCAAGAACTGTGTCCCAATATAAAATAATGTAGAGTGTTGTCAAATTAGGATACATTTAATTAGTCACAATATTTTCATACAAATAGATTTGTGAAAACTGTGTTACACTTGAAAAATAATGAAAAAAAAAAACAAAACAATGTTCCAGTTTTCTTAAATCTGTTATATTAAATGTCTAGTAGAATATTTATATATGTATAGTATAAACAAAGCTTTTTGTGAAAAAATATTTGCTTATGGCACCCTTAAGCCTCCGTGAGAATTACGTTAACAGATATAGTTTTTTGTTCTCGAGATGGCTCTATGCATTTAGCACCTTATCAGTTAGCAGGTTAGCTCTTCTTTACATAACTATGACAAACCCCCTTGTGAGTCAAACCTATTGCTCTGCAAATCAGCAAAGCTCATGCTCCTTGCTGATTTAAGAACTCCGGGGGGCGTGTTGGACCTCTGCATAGATACCACTGCTCCTACAGAGCAAAGGTCCTCCTCTGGTTGGAGACAGGTTTTTCTACTCTGTGGCTGCTTTCAAAAGAAAATGAATGTAAGACTTTGTACACCTTTGGTTTTGATGCATCTAAAATGTATTTAGCCGATTCAAACTGAAAGCTCAGCAGGGCTTTAAGCCCTCTCATCACATGTCACAAAAACTAAAACTAATGTACCATAAATATCCACATCTCAATATGCCAAAGCTGCATTTGAATGGAACAGGCAACAGGAAGCATGCTGTCACTTAGTCAATCATAATTTCAGGTCACGAAGTCCCTTTTTCATAAGCTAAAGAGACTTCAGTAACTAGCTATTAGCAGAGATGTGCTATCCATCAGCATAGTAAAATGGGTAAAATGTTAAATAGCTGCATTATGCATTTGCAAGCAATGCTCATTTCAAAACATGCTACATTTCAATTTGACCTGAGATTTTTTTTATTTTTTATTACTCACAATATTCTTTTGGATATATATATATCTATATATCTATACACACACACACACACACACACACACACACACACACACACACACACACCCTCCTGTTTCATCCATTTTG